CAAAAGGGAACTACAATGGAGACTATAGGTATTCCTGAGGGTTCTTGTTCTTGCTAGATTACACATATCCCCAAGACACTCTTGTTATACTATACATACACCCCCAAGTCACTATTCGAAATATTGCGGCCCGTACATTCGGAGCTTGAGGGTTTGAGGGTTATGGTGTAGGGCTCGAAGGTTTTAGGCCTTGCGGATTCAGGTTTCGGGGATTTAAGCATTCGGGGCGTCAGGTTTTAGGGCTTTAGGAGTTTAGGGCGAATACGCCCTAAACTCCTAAAGCCCTAAAACCTGACGCCCCGAATGTTTAAATGTAGGGCTTCAGGGTTTCGGGGTTCAGGGTTCAAAGTTGGGGACATGGGTGTCAGAGAGGCTCCGGATCCCGGGGGCTTGTGCTCAGGGCTCGGATACGGCTGTGTCGTTTTTTTTGCGGTTTAGGGTTTAGGGTTTAGGGTTTAGGGGTTTTGATATGGAGGGTTAGCGTTATTCAACTGGCATTTCGAGTTGAAGACTTCGGGTACGATGTTCGCTGAGCGAGTTTTAGCACGAAGGGTTCACAATAAACATGTGCTTCCAGGCACCCACAGACAGATACATGCATGCATGCATGCATGCATGCGTGTATGTATGTATAGCACAGTATATATATATATATGTGTTTATTGGCGAGTACATATGTGTATGCATACATATATATATATATATGTATATGTATATGCATATAAACTGATAACAAGTAAATAAATTATATATATATATATGTATAGATAAGTATATATATATATATTTATATCTATACACGCATGTATAAACTATACACGCATACCTGTGTGTACCTAGGAAAATCTCGTGACAAGGTCCTACCCAAATAGCCTTCGACAGCAACTAACTATAGAATAGTATGGTCTTATGCAACATATGCCGTATAATATTAATATGATGACCAACTACCATATACAATAGCATACAACAGCTAACCATCACATGCTGTAAACCTACTATGCTCTACTGACTATTAATACACCATACCTTGCCATCTTATACTAAAGTGTACGAGAACAAAGACTGCAAAAACACCCTAACACTAGTCGACATGTCTTCGGCTCCGAAAGTAGCCTTCAGCGAAGTGGCCGTGTCCCTGACTCTTGGGCCTCTACTAGAATTGCCTACTATGCTTGATGACTTACGGGTGTAGGTTTCGGGCGTAGGGTTCAGGGCCTTTGGGGTTCGGGGCTGTGGGCTTGATAAGGGGCATATGCAACGGCGAAGGTCTGCGTACATGCATGAAGCTTGTTTGAAGGCTTCCCACCTGGAGCATCGCAGAGATCCGTGTCGCTGCAGCTGGTGCTGCGGGTTCCGAGGCCAACGATGATTCCCCAAGACAAGATCTACTTCGGTTGAGAGCCTAGGGTTCTGGGGTAACTGTGATAATACATTGGTTCATAGATCAAAAGGAGTATTCGTTGAACCTTGTCCATCATAAGGCCCTAAATCCCCAACCCTAAACCCTGAAGTAAGGCAACGACATGCAACGAAGAGACATCGCCTCGAGTCAAGAGTGCTGCAAGCGCTTGACTCCGTGCAGCCATCCAACCTTAGTGCAGAGGTGTAAGTACTCAGCAATTAATATTATGTCCTTAGAGTTCACACATACATCTGCTATTAAATCCCCGTTTGTGTTGAAACCCTTACTTCCGACCCCAAGCCCTACAGAAGCCGACGATAAGCACAACCACATGTACACTACAGCGCAGCCCCAGGCCCCAAACCCTAAACCCTGAACCGGATTGTTCCTTGGGGAGACTTGAGCCTAATGACCACGAGAGGTTTAGGAAGCGGGGCGTCGGGACGACGGCCGTTCGTGGTTGACCCGAAAAGCGAGTCATATTAACGCCGAAATAATTGCCAACATTATTTCTTAGGGTACCTTACTATTAAACCCCAAGCCCTAAACCCTAAACCCTAAACCCCAAATCCTAAACCCCTTACTATAACCAGATCATAAAGGAGCCGAAACCCTTTCCTAATTTTTATAAAAGGCCCGTACATTAACTTGCATCAACCCCTTGGGCCCAAATATGGGACTCTATGCAGCCCCAGGGACCCCAAACCCCCTAAACTCTAAACCCTAAACCCTAAAACCTAAACCCTAAACTCTAAACCCTAAACCCTAAAACCTAAACCCTAAACTCTAAACCCTAAACCCCTAAACCCCACACCTCGTGTTCTATGGGGCAGCGGGTCCATCCCATTCTTTCGCGGGCACGCAAAGCAGGCCGGAAGGTCCTCCCCAGAGAACCCGATACCCCTTAATTAAGGAATATACTTTAAACTATAGGGGCCGTGATATAATATTTTAGTTTAAGGTATATTCCTTAATTAAGGGGTATTGGGTTCTCTGGGTCCACTCTTCGAAGGTGCTTGGGCCTCTAAGAAGCCACGGAGGCGGATGTCTCCCTTTCAGAGCCTCTTTAAAGAGATGAGATGTTTTTTCGGCCTTCGAAAACACAAATAAAACATGCGATGCGGTTTTCTTGCGCTGTTGATGTAAAAACAAGTTTGCGCTGGCAGGTCTTCCCCCTCAAATGTTTCAGACGGCGTTGGCAAATTGTGCAGCAACTGCAAGGACTTTTCCCTTCTCAAGGGCTTCAACATGTAAGCACAACAAGAAAGGGTTGGTTTAGAGCTGCACAAGACAGAACACGTGGACCCATTTTCGAAGCCGAAAAAACGACAAGGAACGTAGAATACGTCAGATAACCTTCCCCGTATTGGCTTTTTCTCTTTCGGTTCAGCGTGCGTCTTTTTGGAACAAACACGCCTCCGCCACGACGCAAAAGACCGAATTGAGGCACAAGCAACGTTTTGCTTCACTCCACACGCAAGTCCAGTCTTGAGCCATCTTCCACCCCTTAAGGCCTATACCCTAAGCCCTACATCCCAAACCCTGAACCTTAAAGCCCCAAGCCCGAAACCTTCAGTTACAATTACGGGTAGACGTAAGAAGTTCTAGCCTCGCTGGGAGGTTTATGGGAAGCTAATATGTAATGTAGGGGCCTAAATAGTTCGGATAGGATTTTGGGGGGTTCCTTGTTATAAGTATAGTATAATATACCCCCAAACCCTATTCTGTTGTTAAGGCCCCTATATTAGGAGGACTAGGAGGACAAGGCCGTAATTGGGGCTGTAAGCGACAATGCTTTTGTTTTCGATCCATTTCCCACTCGTGCTAGTCCTCGAACCTTCAAACATGACCCCGGACCCCAAAGCCGACTCTACCCAAAGGCCCCATAGTAGTTCGTTTTTGGGACTGCCTAATAGGATCCTGAATATAAGCCACAAGAAGGAACTACTATGGGGCCTATGGGTAAACTCCAAGCCCCAAAGCCCAAAACATCCTTGGCCCTAAAGCGGTCTTGTTCCCCCTAAACCCTCAGCCCTAAACCAGGTGCCGGATGCGGACTTCTTGAAACAAGCGCAGCATCTTGGCTGACGGAACTTGTGGGCTTCTCCTTAAGGAGGCTTCTTCGAGTGTTCCTGTAGTCTCCATTGTAGTTCCTTTTGGGGGATACCTTATAAAATCCTTCATATATAGTTGGTTAAGCCAGAAAAGGGAACTACAATGGAGACTATAGGTTAATGGTTGTGTCATTATTATTATCGGTCTATCTTACCAGTATCATAAGAGCCAGAAGAGCGAGGTGAAAAGTACCAGCAGCTGGTTGGCAACAGTAGTTTCGATGCCGACGAAAACAGCCCGTTGCAATTCCCGCTGTGCAGGGGAGATGGTAAGAATACCAGCAACCATAAGTTGAGAAGGCAACCAGCACATGATCACGGTACTGGCAAGCTTCACAGTGCAGAACCACCTGCTGCTGCTGCTGCTGCTGCTGTTAAATGAGGACCACGACGATAACTATCTGTTTGCTGCTTTGTGCGGTGGCAATTGCTGTGTGATGCTGGCGGGGTTTCTGGCTAGTGAACACTGGACCGGGTGGTGCGGTTTGCCCAAATGACTAAGCGACGGTTTGGCGTGAAAGGAGAGTGCGGCAGGCTTCGAGCTCCTTGCCCAAAGTCCCGAATCCCAAATCCTGACAGCCGAGCCCAGAAACCCTTTCACCTGGATGCCTCTCCTATGCGCTATGTTCGAGAGTCCGAGTTAGGGTGGTGGGTCTAGGGTATCGCAACACCTCTACTTTGGAGCCAGGCGTGTGCTGTTGCCCACCCTCGTGCGGCGCTCTTCCTCCAAGGACATTAATATAGGGGCCTAAATAAATACCTACACTATTTGGGTTCCTTATTATATTATAGTATAATAATTCTAATCATTAAGGCCCCTGCATTACACAAGTCTTTGGTGTTGGGACGAATCCCTTAAATCTTGAATAAGAGAGCTTGCTTATGCTCTTAAGGGGGTTTAGGGTTTATAGGGTTTAGGGCTGGGGGTTCAGGGTTCATTATAGGGGCGTAAGTTCAGGGGTTTAGGGTTTATAGATTTACTTCATTAGGGTTTAGGGTTTAGGGTTTACCAGGTAAGCTAGAGTATTCTCATCTTCTTTTCAGGATTGGTAGTTCCACCATAATTGGAAGAGGTTTGCCTTCCGGGAGCTCAAGCCGTCGAATCCAAAACGCAAACTCCGAAACCCCCAACATGGCAGGATGTGCGGTGTTAACTGACTGAGAGTCGAAGAGGGTTTAGGGTTTTAGGGTTTTAGGGTTTAGGCTTTAGGGTTTAGGAGAGAGGTAGACTGAATCAAGTCGCGTGGCCGCGCATTCCTGTACAAGTTTGCTTTTTATTCTTCGAGGCCGAGCACTGTACGCAGCCATCTGCCATCATGGTGCCCTTCCCCCACAGTATGTGCTCATTGAGTTGCCAAGCTTGTGTCCTCCAATGAACTTTGACAGGCCATCATATAATTCATGATCCGGATCCCGGGAAAGTTTCTTATATGCTTTGCTGATGGTGTGAGCCCAGCAGCAACACCGAGAAGAAGCTGGACATGTCTGAGACCTCGTTTGTGCCCGAGACTGAGCCGGCTGGAGGGGTCAGTCAGAGCGTCACAGTGTCCCTCCTTAGCGGACGCTCAGTGCAAGTTCCCGCAACGGCCAGCACGGTACTTGGTACGATTAAAGTGGAGGCAGCTCGCCTGCTGGGTGTCTGCGTCGCGAAGTTGGTACACGCAGATGGCTCGTCACTTGATGAGCAGCAAACCCTGGCAGATGCAGGCCTTGATTTGGGGCAGACGCTACAAGTTCTGGTGCGCACAACAATCGAGGTGGGAGACTTGGTGAAAGTTCAAGACGGAGTGACGCCAGCCTTTGGCTGGGGTTCTGTCAGTGCTGACGAGTGTGGGAAGGTTACCTCCATCACAGGCGACAATTGCAGTGTCCACTTTCCAAGACATGCAGGATGGAGTGGCAGACTCGATCAGATGGAACTGGTTGGGCCTGGGGATCCGCCAAAACCACCGGTGAGCAAACCACCACAGGCGATTGATGTTGGGTACCTAGTGAGAGTCCGAGACGGAGTGATACCGTCCTATGGCTGGGGTGACACCACGCCCGGCGATGTTGGGAAAGTTGTCTCCGTAAGTGGCGAGAATGTCAACGTCAACTTTACAAGCCAGTCAGGATGGAATGCCAAACCCTAAACCCAAAACCCCAAACTCTAAACCCTACATAAACCCTAAACTCCCTAAACCCTAAACCCTAAACCCAGTCAGGATGGAGTGGTCGTCTCGACGAGATGGAGGTGGT